GATAATAGATTTTTATTTTCTTCAGTGTCGCGTTATTACAAGTCATTAAACGTATTAGAAAGACATCGTCGCAGTAGTCCTCTTTAGTTATAAGTTCGTTTTTGTTAGATTTGCTCAATATTTTTTACAGCCTAAATATTGGTCTAGTAATATTATTAACATCACAGATTAACGGTGAGATCGATGTGTCGTCAATTAATTTAACGACTAATTGCGCAATTAGCAACAGTGCCGAGACTCAATCTTCCACCTTTGATGGATCTTATTTTCCTGAACTTCGGTGTTAACAGGGAGCTCGCGCTACCCCGTATAACCTCGTATCGCATCCATGCGATCGTTCCTTTAATTAAAAGCCGGTCGAAGTTTCGCACCGCGTTGAAATCGCCGATTTGGTCAATCGAGCGTCGGCTTCTCTTCACGGGGAGTCTACACGCGTCAACTTGCAAGAAGACACTGTGCGCTGTGTAAAAAATTTTTCTGGCACCAGCTCAACCGCGTCCAGTCGCTGAGGTACGACAGCTTAACATTATATCGGCCACTAAAGTGTTACGTGAGACGAAGGACCCAGCCTTAATCGCTTGTAACTCAGCTCAGCGAGGGCCCATTCGAAAACACGGCATTACATATTTCATTAGATGGTATCTTCTATCATTGCTGCGAGTCTTATCGAAATTGGTGGAGAGCAGTGGTTAGTGTCCCCTTGTTAGTCATATTGCATGACGCACCCGTGTGTGCACACGTGAACGGCGGAGTCAAACACACTCACCGGGTCGGATCAATAACTCGAGGAATTGCCGGCTGGCAGAGCTGCTCTTTACGGAGCAGCCTGTTCCTGATCTTTCCGTCGGAAACGAAAGCGGAAGTGGCCGACGTGCTTAGAAATTCCGTCCAGACGTCGATTTTCGTGACGCCTCTCGCGTAAACTTGAAAAAGAAATGGCCGTATCTTCCTCAAGAAATAGATCGAGTTTTACTTTCACTCAGGAAAAGAGGATTCGATCGGACGAATCTACATCGCATCTTCTCTCTAAAGCTTTTGGAGTGAAAATAGAACCACGGAGTAAATTTCAGTAAAATAATCGCTCTAGCGGAGTAAATATTTTCTCCACTGGAGTGGATATTTCACTCCATGATTCTGTTTTTACTCCACAAACTTTAGAAAGTTTACAGTAAAATTTTACGACTTGAAAGATTCATGTGTCTCGTGCGACTTTGTTTTCCATTTTGTCGAGCTTTGATTTCCTTTTATTTTTACCTTAACAAACGTGTATCTAACAGTTAGAATTACTAAAAGTAAATTAAAGTGCTTAGTGGAATGTATTACTGCTCTACGTAAATTCATTTTAGCGAGCATCCCAGAGTCGAAATTTTGGTACTATTTTGGCACTTTTAAGGATACTTTACACCTACTTAGCTGATCTATACACCTACATAGACCAGCAATAACCTACTTTGATGACATTATATTTTTTTACTTCTCCCTCGAATCTTTAAATCTAAAAATTTACTTTAGCTCCCACTTAAAGGGGCCTACTTTAATGCTAAATTGACAAAAGTAAAAATTTCCGACACTATCAGTTTTAAAGTAAGAGTAAATTTTGTATTTGCAATTAAACCTCTTTTACTATCTTAGGTCCTACTACAATTGTATAATAGAATTAAAGGTTCAACGTAGGGCCAAAATTTCGACTCGGGTTATTACATAATTAAAGAAGGTAGATTTCGTAAAACGTATTGTGAAAACGTCGAAGGGATTCTCTCATGATACGCCCGTCGAATTTTTAGAATGCAGTAATCACGATTGTCGGTCGTAAAGCATAGATACACGGTCTGACAGAATGAATTGATACCCGCCGGTGCAGTTATTTCTAACGATCCGATGTATATTAACGGTATATTACTCCGGCCACGTGTTCGCCGTGATAGAGTTCGCGTCAAGTTCCCACCGTGTGTTATAGATTCCTGTATCCCAATGATACAGTAAGAAGAAATGAAACTAATAGAGGAACGAGCGCTCGTTAAATGTATAAACAAATATCAAAGGACAGGGGCCACAAAATACGAGTCGTACAAGGTGTTAAAGTCAATTAAAATTTTTTTAATAAAAATATGTAATGAAATATGCACAAATATCTTTGAGAAACTTTTGCGGTTTTTTAAGAAAAGTTTGGGAGAAGGGCAAAGAAAGGGGCGAAAGTCTAGAGGTTTTCGCAAGGTTAGATGTATTATAGATAAGATCCCACGCAATACACGCAATTCATATTAGACCGCCTTTTACTTAAATGTCATTTTATCGGGCACTCGAGCTATTATACGTTATGCGTGCGAAATGTTAATTTAAGGTACATTTCGTGTCTCTAACCGACTTAATTACTCGCAGCTACGGTGACGTGATCGACCGCGAGTAATTTAACCCACCTCTAAGTCGCATGCCGTAAATTAAGAGCGAGACACACTCGATTCACAGTCACATTTCGCGAAAGCTTTTATCTCGATCACATTAGTTCCTCTCTAGAATTTTTCGTGACATTTATTTCTATATTCTGACGACACTTTCGAGTCTGTGCCCTTTCGAATTGATATCCGCGATTGGTTTAAATCAATTTTCCTTGCGACGGAAGAAAAACTCACGCATCATCTATGATGAATATCGCGAAATAGCGTTTCCACATGTCCGTGAAAGGACGACGAAAAAATATTAACTACGAGAAAAAGGTCAATGCCGAATCCGAATGCAAACTCGAGGCTGACGTTGTTACAGTGATTAATGGCGATGAGACCAAGAGAAATTGCAACGATACATAAAATCTGAAGGAATGATTAGGATCGATGCGCCTGGCGGTTGCGAGGGGCCCGCTCAAGGAACGTTGCTCCTCTAGTTATCGTCTCTGAACACGGGACTTCTCGTCTCATGGAGCAATTTTACGATGTTACTCACCAAGGTCAATCGACGTTGATCTGCAGCAATACGATTTGTTTCGCCGTTCCGCGCAAGTTATGATCGTTCGCGTGTCTTCCTCCGTTTATGTTCAACCCTCGACCACTTTTGTCTTCCACTCTTTGAGGTCTAAGAAATCGCGCTTACGCTCGTACGCAGTTCATCGCAATGTATCGTGCATTCGAAGGATTACTCGTAAGACTATTGACTCGTTTCTAATATCGGAATAAACTGATGGGACCTTTTAGATAAGGTGTATTTTTAATCCAGTAGTTTTGGGAGCATTGCGTAGCTATGTAGGGAGAGAATTTTCTTTGAAAATTTATCCTGAAAATAACGTAATCGTGGGACATTTTGAAGAACTTTATGAGAGTTTTTTTGAAATTTTACCATACATTTTACTACACTGAGAAAAAATTTCATCGGCTAAACCAATTAAATAGTGTTTCCGATTACGTTTTTCGATCAAATTTCATCGGTAACTGCATTACATCGAATATGTACATAATTTAATCGGAAAAGTTAACCATCAAAAACACTGTTTAATTGGCTTATCCGATGGAAAATTTTCCTCGGTGCGGTATCTCAATATTATAATTTTGAATTTCTAAATAGAAAACCGATTTGACTTCGCAAACTTTACCGGACGCTTTGCGAAAATGTAGTTTGACATGAAAATTGAAGAAAACGCTTTTTCTCCGCGTTGAATAGAAATAGGCAAAATATATTTCGTTCCCGTTTAAGGTAACTTGAAGCGTCTCCATTGTTTGAAATTGTTCTTTCATTTCCCAACATCGTTAATCTTGTTAAACTCAAGTATCTAATTGATCACGCACACTCCTGTTTATTCACTGATAGAATATTCGCACTTGTAAAACACCATTGGTAATTGCTGTCGGTTTGATTGCTGTAATCTCGTCGTCGGCACGTAATATCTGTGGCACGTAGAAAACAGGTGGTACTTTATAATTGAAGGCTGTCGTCATTGCACGCATTGTAGGATTATATCGAGGTAGGCACATATATACAACTGTCGAGTGTCTGTATCATATTTCGGCTATGAATTATTCATAGCATTTAAATGCCCAGGAGTTTCTAAATACACGGATGAAAATTGTGCCCCGCGTATTAAAAAGTGCGTCCGAAATAAATTTATAAAATCTAAATAGGGGAACC